CTTGTCAATATCCAAAACGACCATGGAGGGAATTTTTCCCAGTAAACTGGCATTCAGATTATAAAGTCATATCTAAATCTGGAACGGAATCAGCTGATGAAGCCGAAGCTTCCTCACTGGAAGAAATACAAAGTTTGATAGATCTTCAGGAAAACTGTGTAAACAATAAATAATTACAATTAAAATCTCTTTTCACTTTAATTCCATTTGTCAAATATTGAGGTGAACGCGGATATCAGTGTACTGTGAGAGAGGTCAAAATGATGTTTGTAGTTGTTTTGAATCAATGGACGTAAGTAGTGTGATCTGAATCACGATGAATATTGACTGATATTTATGATGGATAACAGTTCATTATCGATTGTTAGTGGTAGATGTTATACGAAAATGATGGTGTTCTGAACAATTTAACCTCCTTGTTCACCGAAGTTGTTCTGCTAATTACCGTGTGTTTACATTACCAACGAAGACAACGAAGGTGTACAATATTAACTGATATTCTCATTGATATGATCTCATTTTGAATTCATATTTCCACATTTGATCTTTCTTAAGAGACAATGGAAGCATCAGATAATTGAGCAAATTACCTACCTGTCATCCGAAGATATTCAAAACGAAGCAAACACTCTTTCCATTCTTCATTGAATCGGAATATGTAAAGCAAGTCGACCAACTAATTTTCGTGAATCAAATGATAACATTGATTGGAAGGAGGAGATGCAGCACCACATACACACACACACAGAGAGAAAGACTGGTATACAACGCTTCATCATCACTGAATGAAATTATTCTCGTGTCTCCAGTTAATTAATTCTAATTCTTAATTCTATACAACAAAATGAATGGTGATCTGTATTTTTGTTAGTTTACGGAAATTCACCAAACAGTATGTTGTCTGTATACCATTACAACTTTTAACACATAAAGAAGCGAATCGATTTTGTCTCTTAATTTTCCCATGATTTTGGTAAATTATTATCTAGTTGAAATGAATTGCATGAGGTGAATTGTTCAGTATGTGCATGCACAAAATGCATAACATATTTGATGGGTGTCAGGTTATGCGACTGTCCGAAACAGTCCATTTTCATTATCATTATCATTATTATCTTTACTATCATCTATTAGTAGAAAAATGAGTTAATTATTCAGGGTTAGAGAGAGAAATCTTACCTGTAGAACTTCCATATTTATTTCTCCAATCCAATCAGCAAGTAATTGATATCACTTCACAATTCGTTCACTAATAAATCCACATCTGGTTCTGCAAAGCAATACTGTTTAGGGGAGAGTGGTCGTAGTCAAATGAACACTAGGAGGGAAACAAGCTGAATTGAGAGGATTCTAAGAGATATTTTAAGATATTTCAGGAAACCGGTAGACAATAAATAAGTGATCGTTAATCAAGTTGTTTTACTAATCCAATCGATAAGCTATGGAAATCTGAAGTCAGTTAAAATTATTCTATTGATAAAGAAACGTGAATCACATCGATACTAATGGAGTGAGAGAAACGTCAGTGTTGTTTATGAAGCTGAGTTGATGATGAAGACATCTTGTATGATGGACAATAGTATACAAATAATGTGCACATCACATAACATTCTTGTACCGATTGAATGATTTGTAGATCAGTCAAGTTTAATCCAATGAATTACGCAAAATAACAAATAAGTGTCACTCCACACCTCAATAATTCACTTCACATGTGATCGATTACCACAAATTCTCTAAGATCAAATCGGTACACTATCCTTTCAATACAGATGAGCATTTTGCATCAGTTCGATCACATTCATCCTACTTAAACAATCAACTATCTAAGTACCAGTTTCAAATGAGTAAAATGAATTTGAATTTAATAGACTTGTTATGTTCACACAGTTATCAGCTGAATAAAGCAATATGAAGTTTATCTTTAAATTACGTTACATGCATTACTAAATAATCAGTTGAACTCCCCAATTTGTATGTAAGTTCTGAAAACATTTTGGAAACTTTCACAAAGTGGAATACTGTAGTCGACGTGCTTATTTCAACTATAAACTTTATTGATGAAATAGCAATATAAACCTGATCGGATCGTCCCTATTCCTCATTCTCACTCTTCTGAATATACGTTAAAATTTAGTGATAGTGCTAAGCCAATCAGGATCAAGGAGGTAGTGTTGAGGTCACGATGGAAATATTGAATTTCAATGACACTAGGCAACAGTTGGCTCGTTCCAGTCAACCGGAAAATATCAAATATCGATGCGTAATTTATTATGTAAAATACAATAAACTAAACTACAAGGTAGTATAACTTTCACTGATTTCTCGTTATTTATTTTATCTTGAATGTAATAGAGAAGTTTATCCGTATGGCTCCATATCACTCTGATTCGGATCTTTGTTTGGTCTGTTCAGCAAAACATGTACTACAAAATGCCTTGCAAACATTTGGTCTATACTATTCTGTTGACCACTAGGTAGCTGAATGAAAACTAATCATCAGTACTCAAATATTTGTTCTTGACAGTACGAATTCTCTCACTCATTTGTCAACATAATCTCTTCACATTGGTTTATTTTGCTAATGAACATTACAGTTGAACAATACTCCAACCAGCTGTTCATTGAGTACTCTTATAACCGATTAGCATCCACAATGGCACATGATTGAATATCTCACTAATCTAACGCTTCTCAACAAGTCTATCACGCTTTGTTTATTGAAATTAGTAATGATGAATAGGAGGAAGATGTTATTAGTTGGATATTTGCAATCCTGGCTTTAAAGTTGTTTCTTGATCCGCATCGGTCATGCATTACAATCAAATTTGCCTAATATTGCTTACCAGTAACAAAATAGGTCATTCATGAGAAGTACGTCATGCAGTGTATTATGCAACTGAGTCATACACAGTCTAATATTTCATATTCGCATAACTGACATCATCATGTACACAAGCACATTTTGGTGTATCATAACGAAATAGTTAGTGGTAATTAAACACCGATATAGTTGTTGCACGAATTCCATCATTGAAACCGCAATCACAGATAAACGTTTACCATCATAGCGTTGACTGACATAGGTCATATCTATTTATTTAGTGTCACTAATTCGCTTTCACTTTAAATATCTGGTTACCATTTTACAAGGGACAATGTTATTCTATGCTAATTCCAAATATTCAGATGTCAAAATCTCTCTCCTGTTCACATCCAGTTATTGGAAACATAATTATGGACAGTGATAAGTAACTATAAATCAAAGTCTGAGTGGACATTAATTGAGGTGAAATGTAGACAGTTGTGCTTTGAAATCCAGTGATCTTCATAGAATAACCCTAAACGTTAAGCGAGTTAATTGCACATTGTCATATATAACATTCACTAGGACAAACTCCTATAAAATGTCTGCTGGCTTACAATGGTTGATTATCCACGATCAGTCAGCTCGTCATTTATTGAGTCAGTCAATCAATTAGTAGGTAGAATTATATACAAAATCTGACAATATCTGATACATCTCGATACTAGAAATTTGCTCTATCGAATATAATTATATTACATAGTTTAATAGACAAAGTATATACCAATTATATAGTGTGATAGCACAACGGATTATTGTTCGAATATAGACGTAATTTAAAATCTACAACTCAATTAGCATGATACTCATATAGCTGGTCATTTCCATCTCTTATCTTGAACAAAATCCTTCGAAGTGTATCCGCAAACTTTGTGTAATACAAACAATGAACGTTTACCTAAATTAATGTTTGGCTACAAGCAATCTTTCATGTTGATATTCAAAATCCACAAGTCTCACTTTTAAGCTAACCGGTAAATGCTTAATAATATAGGAAGAAAACAGTTCAATTCACCACGTAAACTACCTATCCAATCTATCCAACTTGTATATGAGTCAAGTTAAGAATAAGATAAAAGTGATGACATAATTATATTTTTATATCAGATAATGTGATTCAATGAAAGGATTTTAATATGCTAATCCTCCATGAAAACTCCTTTCCTAATTATCTAATAAAGATTCAAGTGTCTTGAAATTCCAGTTTTCCTGTCTTCTGTCGCATTGTTTCAATAGACTAAGAAACATGTAAGCAGTTAACAGAGTGAATCAATATCCATCGATTCGAAATAAATTTCTACAGAGAAGTAAGATCCTTCAAACGGAGTAAACAATCAAATGAGATAGGCGATACAACTACAATCAATTAGGTCGACAATATTTTAGATGAGCAGGTCACTTCAACAAAGAAATCAGAGAGGGAGGCTACAAATTGATTGATAATAATTTAATCTATTGAACAATAACGAGTAGTATGGTAAGATAAGTGAAAAACGTAACCCATAGTAGAGTGTATTTACTTCTTTTCAATTTGCAATTCAGTCTAGCAAATGTGTTTCCTCAAATCCAAAGTACGTCAATATGTTGAACGTCTATGATTTCTCACAGTAACCATCAATTATTTGTAGAGTCATTCTCACTAACCAGTGGGTGGATATCATTCATTATGTACCTACACAAATTCATTATTCATATGAAAACTGTACGTTATTTACATTGTCAGGAAAAATAATCCATGGAGAACAGAACGTTCACTTACAACAAAGAAATGGATAAATGCCTCGTTCTTACAAAACGATCTGTACTACTCTCTCGGTCAACTGTCTGTTGGAACATTGAGCAACACTACATTCAAATTTTACTGATCGGAACAACTTCGACTGATAAGTTGTATTTGCAAAACTCGATGATCATCTACCAGCTTAATTAATGTTGGAGAAGTAGGAAGTTAAATTGTTCAGAACACCATCATTTTCGTATTCTTGAAACCTGGTGTTTAACATTCACCAGGTTTCCCAATAACATCTAACACTAACAATCGATAATGAGCTGTTATCCATCATAAATATCAGTCAATATTCATCGTGATTCAGATCTAACTACTTACGTCCATTGATTCAAAACAACTACAAACATCATTTTGACCTCTCTCACAGTACACTGATATCCGCGATCACCTCAATATTTGACGAATGGAATTAAAGTGAAAAGAGATTGTAATTGTAATTATTTATTGTTGACACAGTTTTCCTGAAGATCTATCAAACTTTCTATTTCTTCCAGTGAGGAAGCTTCGGCTTCATCAGCTGATTCCGTTCCAGATTTAGATATGACTTTATAATCTGAATGCCAGTTTACTGGGAAAAATTCCCTCCATGGTCGTTTTGGATATTGACAAGAAACGAAAACATCCCATTTTGTTTGTAGTTTCTCTACACAGATGAGTATTGACATAGTTGCCAAAAGTTTATACTGGTTTATATCGTCAATACATTTACTGTGACCGAGTAGTATGTAAGGTCCTGCAAAATGAGATCGTCTAAATAAAGATGGATGAAATTGTGCAAAAGTAGATATGAAACTCATAAATTAATCATGATGATAATGTTGTTATAGATGTGAAAGTATCACAGTTCTGTGAAATGTATTTGCTCTAGAACTACTCTACACCTTATTCATTCATTCAATGGATGCTGCTTAAGTGTAGATCAACTGAACCACAATTTGCTAGTCATCATTTGATCACAGATAAATACATAACGTGTTCTGCTGAAAACCATATGTGCTCAAATGTGCTTAAAAGCGAAGACAAGGAAGGTGTACAATATTAACTGATATTCTCACAGATATCATCTCATATTGTATTCATATTTCCACATTTGTCGATCTTTGGTAAGAGACAATGGAAGCATCAGATAATTGAGCAAATTACCTACCCGTCATCCGAAGATATTCAAAACGAAGCAAACACTCTTTCCATTCGTCATGTAATCGGAATATGTAAAGCAAGTCGACCAACTAATTTTCGTGAATCAAATGATAACATTGATTCGAAGGAGGAAATGCAGCACATACACACACTTAGAGAGAGAGATAGTTTGGTCTACAACGCTTCATCATCACTGAATGAAATTATTCTCGTGTCTCCTGTTAATTAATTCTAATTCTTAATTCTATACAACAAAATGAATGGTGATCTGTATTTTTGTTAGTTGACGGAAATTCACCAAACAGTATGTTGTCTGTATATCAATACAACTTATACCACATAGACAACCGAATGACATCATGACAGTTGGTTGTGATTGTATCATGAATTACAAACTATAGGCATAACTATTAAATTCCAGTGGTTTTCAATGAATTCGGTGCCATAACTTCATGAGAATAGAATTAACGGTTAAGTGGACAAAACATCGTAGATGCACATTAACAACATAAAACTCACAACGACTCATATAAAATTGGACAAACGTACTCATATATTAACCAATATGTTTTTTTGAATGAATTCGTATTTCCAGGTGTACAAATCGATCTTGTCCTCCAAACAAATGTTGATGAGAGCAGCTCATTACTATCACATATATCAAACCAATCACCAAGTTGATTTGGTTCCATATACAATCGAACACATCGTGAGATTGTATTTCTCCAATTCAGTAGACTTGATGATTTATTCGATGCACTGACATTGCTATTCATCTCAGTTGTTGTAGGGTTGCTCGCAACTGCATACACAGCTGTATAAGAAATTATTGTGACGAGGAAGAACAAATTGACTAACATTGTTCATTTAATTAATTATGGAAGAGAAATGGATTTATATTATCCACATCACGGAAGGTTGAGTTGTTGCATTGCTTAGACCATTTTCATATCGATCATGTGATGTGATGAATACTTAGTTTGTAGGAAACGATGTGTCAACCGATCACATGTATGACATTTTTTCTATGCATGGGATATTATCATTACATAATCAGTTAGATTTGATCACACGAAGTTCTGAATCAATAATATTCTTCTCAACACCATTTTCACATTTCAACAATTTGAAGTCGAATGATTAACACTTGTTTGATTTGTGTATGTCAAATTATCTTATAATGAAAATGAGATGAGAGCTTGATGTACGGTGATCAACTCTCAGTTGTCAGTGGAGTCGAACATGTACACAACATTGTGATCTGAAGAGGAATTCGCATGGAGTGAGACTTAATAAGGACCAGTGAAATGCTCATATGTATTAACATGATTAATGGATGTGTTGTTGTTTTTGTTGTGTTATGATTGTCACGAAACATGTTGAAGTATGGTAGATACGATTGAAAGATTCTCGAGACAAACTGAAATTAGGAAGAATGTGATCGAACTGATGCAAAATGCTCATGTGTGTTGAAAAGATGGTATGCCGATTCGATCTGACGTTTCTCCCACTCCATTAGTATCGATGTGATTCACGTTTCTTTATCAATAGAATAATTCTAACTGACTTCAGATTTCCATGGCTTATCGATTGGATTTGTAAAACAACTTGATTATCGATCACTTATTTATTGTCTACAGGTTTCCTGAAATATCTTAGAATATCTCTTAGAATCCTCTCAATTCAGCTTGTTTCCCTCCTAGTGTTCATTTGACTACGACCACTCTCCCCTAAACAGTAATGCTTAGCAGAACCAGATGTGGATTTCTTAGTGAACGAATTGTGTAGTGATATCACTTACTTGCTGGTTGGATTGCAGAAATAAATATGGAAGTTCTACAGATAAGATTTCTCTCTCTAACCCTGAATAATTAACTCATTTCTCCACTAAAAGATGATAGTAAAGATAATAATGATAATGATAATGAAAATGGACTGTTTCGGACAGTCGCATAACCTGACACCCATCAAATATGTTATGCATTTTGTGCATGCACATACTGAACAATTCACCTCATGCAATTCATTTCAACTAGATAATAATTTACCAAATTCGACGAATAACTGAAATACATGTATCTGGTTGAACTAATATATATCGACCACGAAACATCTCTTGCCTGTAAACAAGTACACAGTAATAAGAATACACATGTGACTTTATGGAAGTCTCAATATTGGTGAAACTGTTTGGAAAACAAATCAGTTGAAATTATTTACCTTACATTGAACATCCGCATTAGTTTAACTAAACTCAATTATGCACAGATGTATTTGTTTGAGTTTCCCAGTGTTGATGTTCATGACTACATTGGATTACACTTGATAGGCATACATGCATGCTGATTGGATTACCTCGGCATTGTCCTTTGTTAAAAGCACCAAATGGAATATCATGTGCTACCGAGATTCGTTTACTTCCTGTCATCTAATGGTCTTAGAAACACATAAACTGTTTTGATGTGCATAATTTATTACATGTGAACATTTGCACAGATTTGCACACAACTTGGCTTAAAGAAATCCTTACATACAGTAATTTCCTATGTGAATTCATTGATGTACTCGATCGGCAATGAGTCTTCTATTTCACACATACTATTCTATGCTCATAACAACTGAATGAAAATGCCTCAGGATTAATAGACTAACAAACATTGTTCAATCTGGTTTAAACAACCACATGAAACAGGAATCAGTCAAGAGTGGTTTTCTTCTAGTATGTGATTACTCTCAATTGTATGTTAATGGTGTTGACAGAAGTGACTAGACCAAAACACTTCCGTCACACACAGAATTGCTTAGATTCCAGAACACTCAGTCAAACCAAAATGGTGTACATGCTGAAATTCAATGTATTCGTATTGATGGTCAGTCTTATTCCAACGTGTTTGGAAGTGAGTAGGGAGAAATTCTATGAACTTACATCGTCGATTTGTCGAGCGACAATTATTACATTTCACAGATTGAAATCGTGGGTCAGTTGAAGCCTGACCACCTTTGAAAACCTGGAAGCACTGGACGGCCGTTTCGTCTTAGTAGGGGACTCGTCAGCAGTGCGCATCCACGACCCCGCACCCGGGAATTCCTACCTCACAATAGACCTGGATGAACTCCACTGGTAACGACTTCTCACTAGAATTCCAGAAGTGTCTCCTGAAGTCAGTCACTAGTGAGCAGGTGATTATTATTATCAGAATGGGTTTTGTGGAGATTTTAGAAATTTCACAGATTGAAATCATGAGTCAGTTGAAGCTACAATCTCCACAAAACCAATTGTGATATTACATTTCAGTTTAATATTTGATCCAATTTATCTTGCAAATAATGATCACACAACACTTGTTATCACCTATGAGACAATGACGAGATACTGTCCAAATGGATTTGTATGACAGAGAACTCACATGAAACTTGCAATATGCACATTTCATAAATTGACTAGTAGCGGAACAGATGGGTAGAATACTTCGAGGAACTCCTGAATAGGCCGGCTCCAATGAATCCACCGGACATCGAAGAGGCACACACAAATATTCCCATAGACGTCAACCCACCAACGAAGGAAGAAATCAGAATGGCCGTCAGACAAATCAAGAACGGGAGAGCAGCGGGTCCGGACAACATAACAGCTGAAGCACTGAAGTCAGACATCGAAGCAACTACAAACATGTGTTACCTTCTATTCAAAAAGATTTGGGAGGAGGAACAAGTGCCGATGGACTGGAAAGAAGGGCACCTCGTCAAGATTCCAAAGAAAGGAGATCTGAGCAAATGTAAAAACTATAGAGGCATTACACTGCTGTCAATACCAGAGAAGGTCTTCAACAGAGTGTTGCTGAACCGGATGAAAGATGCAGTAGACGTCCAACTTCGAGATCAACAAGCTGGATTCCGTAAGAATCGATCATGCACAGACCGAATCACAACACTACGGATCATCGTCGAACAATCAGTTGAGTGGATCTCATCACTATACATCAACTTCATTGATTATGAAAAAGCATTCGACAGTGTAGATAGGAGGACATTATGGAAACTTCTTCGACACTACGGAGTTCCTGAGAAGATTGTCAACATTATCCGGAACTCATACGACGGACTACAGTGCAAAGTCGTGCATGGAGGACAGCTGACGGATGTATTCCAAGTAAGGACCGGAGTCAGACAAGGCTGTTTACTTTCTCCCTTCGTCTTTCTTCTGGTGGTCGACTGGATTATGAAGACCTCGACATCTGAAGGAAAACACGGAATTCAATGGACAGCTCGAAATCAATTAGACGATTTGGACTTCGCAGATGACCTAGCCCTCCTATCACGTACACACGAACAGATGCAGATGAAGACAGTCTCTGCATCAGTAGGCCTCAGCATACACAAAGGGAAAACCAAAGTCCTCAAATTGAAAGCGGAAAACAACAATCCAATCACTCTTGATGGCGAAACTCTGGAAAATGTAGAGTCCTTCACATACCTAGGAAGCATCATCGATGAACACGGAGGTTCAGATGCAGACGTAAAGGCAAGGATTGGCAAAGCAAGGACAGCATTCCTACAGTTAAACAACATATAGAACTCAAAACAACTTTCAACCAATATCAAAGTGAGAATCTTCAATACCAACGTCAAGGCAGTTCTACTGTATGGAGCTGAAACTTGGAGAACTACAACAACCACAATCAAGAAAGTAAAAGTATTTATAAATAGCTGTCTACGTAAGATAATCAACATCCATTGGCCGGATACCATCAGCAATAGCCTTCTGTGGGAGAGAACAAACCAACTTCCAGCTGAAGAAGAAATTAGGAAAAGACGATGGAAATGGATAGGACATACATTACGCAAATCGTCAAACTGCATCACGAGGCAAGCCCTAACTTGGAATCCTGAAGGGAAGCGAAAAACAGGAAGCTAAAGAACACATTGCGTCGGATAATAGAAGCAGATATGATAACGATGAATTACAACTGGACCGAGCTAGAAAGGATTGCCCAGGACAGGGTTGGATAGAGAATGCTGGTGAGCGGCCTATGCTCCTTCACGAGTAGTAACAAGCGTAAGTAATAAATTGACTAGTGAAGTTATTTGCAGAAACTTACGAATATAACACCCAGTATTTAATGTTATCGAATCTGGTGGAGCGTGGTGAACAAACTGCTCTTGTATACTTCTTGAGAAATGGTGAAAGTGATGGATTACTGTCACACAAATCGATCCAATAATCCCTGTTTTTGTAGAAACTGAATAGTCTCATGCATTTTACTGGTGGTGCCTGACTGTACAAGAGTCTTGTTTGTGTTTGTGAGCTATTCGAATTTGTGTGATCCTCAGTTGTATTTTCCCACGTTTCAAGTGACCACACTGTGGAGCAAGAAATCACCGTAACGAGCAACACTAAACAATTTGGCATTGTTCTTGATGAAATAGTGAGATCCACCTTTGTGGTTCAATTTTATATTATACGTGTGAAAAGACTGAGGTGAACTTTAAGATTTACGTGTGATAGTTTCGTGACGAATATGGGTTTGGTTTGATAAGATTTAAAGATTAAGGTTGAAGCGAGTGGATTCTATTAGTTCAAGCTACTTTATCTAACTAGATAGCACGTAATCATTTATCGGATATCACAAAAATTATTTCGGATTAACCTCACGTAAACGATATGAAAATGACCTAAGCAATGCAACTACTCAACCTACTGTGTTGTGGATTATATAAATCCATTTCACTTCCATAACTAATTAAATGAACAATGTTAGTCAATTTGTTCTTCCTCGTCACAATAATTTCTTATGCAGCTGTGTATGCAGTTGCGAGCAACCCTACAACAACTGAGATGAATAGCGATGTCAGTGCATCGAATAAATCATCAAGTCTACTGAATTGGAGAAATACAATCTCACGATGTGTTCGATTG